TTAAAATCTGAATTTAGAAATATAAATCATAATGAGTGATAGAATTACCTATGATGCACAAAGAAATGCTCGTGTTCAATATATATGTGCTAGTTTGTTTTTTAATTTTATTGGTGGTAGTCTGTAATAAATAAGTCAAATTAATATGATTAAGAGTGTGGGGCTGAAACTTCCTTCAAAGTAAAAGAAAGTAATATTTGTTGTTCTCAATGTCAGTGCAGAATTTTATATAAAAAGAGAACTCCAGAACGTTTGTCTTTTTCTAATTCAATTCATAAAGTGTCTACCTGAATATTAACAAGAGATAGCTGTTGAATTTGAAGCAAGATAGAATGAATTGAATATTTGAAGTTTATTTTTTAGACTTTTATTTGTAATTTTTTTATCATACTTTGATTTTGACAAAGCAAATAAAAAAAGAGTTACTTTCTTGGAAATAGAATTGAAGAAAACAATTATTTAAAATAAATAAACACTTGAGATGATATTATCAAAACTAAAATAAGGTGAATGAGTTTTATGCTTGCTATTAGTTTGTGCGAAGCAACAATCTTGGTCATGGGTGCTCATCTTCTGATTGTTCCACTATTTATAGGAGAATGGAACTTATTGTTGTATTAACAGTCCTGTCTATTAATTTAGTTTCTGCTAAGAGGATTTGTTCCAAACAAATACCATTTAATGATGTAAATGTGTTACGTGCCAAGATTGTCCCAATAATGTCTAGGAAAAGTGTGTGTAGTGGGATTAAGTGTGGAGTCAAATCAGATAATTGTTATAGCCTTTATTAGGACCATTCAAAAAACTATGTTTGTCATTCAGACTAATACATCAAAACTTATTGTGGAGATGATGTTGGTGAAGGTTCAGAGATATGTGATAATTGTCATAGTGACTGTGGAGCATGTAACATTTATTCGTGTCCATAAAATTGTCAATTACCTAGCTGTGGATGTGTAAATCAAAAAACACATAATAATATCCCACAGACTAAGTTACCTCAATTCTTTTGGATGACTGTTAGTGGTACAGTATTTAAAGATTGTTATAACAAGTTATCATTACAAATTAACTTCTCAGGTTAGAGACTCAAAAGGAAGAATTTGTTAATAACGACTATAACCAATACACTCATTATTTATCTTTTAAACCTTGGAGCAGAAATATCTTCTTACACTTTCACTCACACAACTGGAAAGCCAACAAAATTTAATACTTGGTTCAATGAAATTTCTTCCTTTTGTAGATTTTTTAAAGTTTTCAATAACATTGAAGTTTATGGTGTGAGAATTCCTAAATTCGAATGGAACGTACAAATACTTGACATTCATCCGACCTTAGGCTTTAAGTATGGTCCCACAACCACTGAGTCTTCTAATGAATATTTTGATTATATCTTATGACTTTTACTCTTGACTTTGACTATCTCAAATTACTTATGGAAATATGTTTGGAATGTTGAATAAACAATATCCAGGATTATGGGACGTCCCTTTATCTGAATGGATTTTTGAAAATGGAAGTTCTGTCGAAATAGTGATTACAACCTAACTGGATCTAGATTAGGTAATGCTTTAGAATATAATTTTTAGAGGTATTATAACAATTCAAGAAGTCCGTTTGGTATTTACCTTTATGGATTTTGGTTTACTCAAGAAAGAAATAATGTCCTTCCTTCTTTTTTAAAGATATATCTCATAATCTTATATATTCTTTATAACAGGAAAAGAGATCACTGACTTTGTTATTTACCCTGCAAGAGCAAAAGAATACTAAAAGTACTCAATTACTCCAACGAAAGATGAGAATGTACTGATGGATATGCAAAACATGAATGTGAATATTCTGATAAGTCTTAAGCTCATGTTTCTTATTTCTCCAGAATCTACTTCTATAAAAAATCTGGTGAAAAATTAATTAAAATATCTTCAATAAAATTTAAATTAAATGAAAGGTTTGTCTAAATTTATTGTGCTGTCATTGATTCTCCTTCAACTGTGTTATCAATAGCAAGATTGGCATAATCTACTTCAAGTTCATATAAATCTTGTCGTGCATCAGTAAATTCATTTTCTTCCATTCCTTCTCCAACATAATGATGAACAAAAGCTCTTTTGCCAAACATTAAATCAAAGTTTTGATTTACTTTTTGGAATACTTGGCACATAGCTGTATGGTTAGCAATCATACATGCACTTCTAGCAGTAGAAGCATATGAACTACCTGGTACAGCAGTAGCTGGTTGACTATTAATACCACATTTAAATGAACATGGACACCATCCAACAAATGGAACTGTATTTTGTCTCTTAATTCCACTAACAGCAAGATTAACTTCACGTGATGAAACATCTCCTCGATACATCATACAACAACTCATAAATTTACCTTTATTAATATCATCAAATTGAATCATTAAACTATTTGGATCAAATAATGATGATGTAAGTTCTTGAACTGATAGTGTTTGTCTAATAGCTTTTTCTGGTGTAACAATTGGTGCATATGACATCATAGCAAAATGATCTCTTGGGAATGGAACAAGATTAGTTGGGAATTCATTTAAATCAACATTTAATGTTCCTTCAAATCTTAATGATGCAGTAATAGAACTCATGGCTTGTGCAATTAATTGATTTAAATGGAAATATGATGGACTATGAACTCCTAATTGTTTTTGACATATTTTATAAATTGATTCATTGTCAACCATAAAAGTACAATTTACAAATTTCATCATAGCGTGAGTATTTAACACAGCGTTATATGGTTCAACAACCCCACTAGAAAGTTTTGGTGATGGCCAAATAATCGTATTTAATTTAGTCTTTTTTGTATATTTATCTGCTAATTTCTCACATAATGCTGCAGTAAAACCACTTCCAGTTCCTCCACCAACTGAATTATAAATGAAAAATCCTTGAAGTCCTGTACAATTTTCTGTAGCCTTTCTAATAGCATCCATAGTTTGGTTTAGTAATGGTTCATATCCTGTTTTTCCTTTAGCAAAATTAGAGGATGCATCTTCTTTACCACAAATTAATTGTTCAGGATGATAAAGTCCAGAATATTCTCCAGTTTTAATTTCATCAATTACAGTAGGTTCAGTGTCAACAAAAATAGCTCTTGGAACATGTCTCCCATTTTGGAGCTCTTGGAAAAAAGCGTTATAAGCAGTATCTATCCCTCCAGTTATAACTGATCTTTTTTCATTAGTATTGGCAATGGCTGTTCCATCTGATTGAATTCCATGTTCAAGGCAAAACAACTCCCAACATTTATTTCCAAGTTGACACCCAGCTTGACCAATATTAATAGTAATCACTTCACGCATAGATCTGATTAGGTTTTTAGATTTAATAGTTTATAAGTTCTAGTTATAATCTTATTATCATTGTGATGTGATTCTTATAAGATTATTTTACTTATTTTTTTCCCTTCAAATAGTTTTTTCATGACTATAGTTAGTTGAATTATAAACTTTTCAAGATAAAAAATAGAAAAGAAACAATTATAGGTGGTTAAAGTTAACAGATAATTAATGAGGGAAATAAGAATATCCAGAATATGGTTGTTGGTACTCTTGGTGGTATGAATTTTGATGAGGTCTTGTGTTTTGGTTGTTTATAGTAAATCCATCTTCAAGTATAGTATCATATTTGCTTTGTTTTTGACCATTTGAATAAAGGAATCCTGAAATCTCACTTCTGTCCATTCTAGATTGTGGATTATCAATATCTTGATTAATTGAAACCCAGTCTTCCTGGTGTTGATATTCTGGATTAAAGGTGTGATAGACAGAAGTTTCTTCCATTTGATCTTCACTATCAATATCTATCAAATTTTCATTTGAAAATTGTCTTGTTCTCATGTCGTTTTCTATAGACCTTATTTGGTAATCACTATCTCTTCTAATTGGAATTGTTTCTCTTGTGACTTGAGGGGCATATTTGTTGTAGTCATTATAAAGATTGTTCGTACTAATACTGACACTTCTATCAAGATCTGATGGATACCTTCTGAGTTGTGTTGAATATGGTTCACTTGGTATATATGACTGTCTATTCCAAAACCAGTTAAATACAGAAACTCTATGAGGTGTTTTTGTTGAATAATACTGAGTAAGTAAAAGAATAATCCCAACTATGACAATTAAAACAATAGCACAAATGCCAACTTCTTCAATATTGATCATTCTAAAATACAAAGTTTTCTTTTTTTATTTACAAAAAATAAATAAGTTAATAGAAAATAATTTTTATAGTATATTATAAGAAATGTTATCTGGAAGAAAGGAAATCGTATGTCGAAAAGGTATTATATTCTTAATTGTTGTTTGAATTTCATTTATTTGGTATTGAGGCATGGCAAGTAACAAAGGCATTTTAGCACACCTAATGTAGTCCAACGTTAATGAAGTTAATTGGTCTGTTGTGATTTCATAATAACAAAATAAATAACTTCGTTTCCAGTCACTACCAAAGATACTATGCATTTGGGACGATATAATTATCCACTCTTTCATCGAATCAAAAGAATAACTGTTTTTTGAGTTGCAAAAATAGTTTAACGGACATATTTTCAAGGAAAAAGAGTTTGTTTGATTTATCGAGTTAAGAAGATCTTTGAATTGAGTAATTTTGTTATATTCACATGGAGTTATAAGAATACTTGAATGAGTTAAATGATGGTTTATCCATTGTTCTATCTTATAGTAATGCTCGTTTAAAGAACTTTGGTAAAAAGTATCATTTACAGTAAATGTCCGTTTTATGTTCATTTTGATTATCGACTTAGAGATTTAATTCATTAAGTCAATACGAAAAAAAACAAAATGTTTTATAAAACATTTTATAATTCTATAAGAATTTAAAAAATGATGTGATTACTATAAATCAGTTTTTACATTATTTCATTTTTTATCATTTTTTTAAAGGAAACCTTTAATAATATAGTTAGATTTTGATGTAATGAACATTAATACGTCTTATCTTTATAAACATGATTCAACTGATTTACTATACTTATATTTTATTATTTTTTTTTTCTTTTTAATTGATTTATATTTTTATGTATTAGTCTTTATATTCTTATATTTGTTTGTGTTACTTTATCATATATATTTCTAATTTTTATTATCCTTTTATATTCAGTTGTGTATTGTTATATTTTTGATTGAATTATTTTGTTATCTTGTTTGCTTTAAATCTATTTATTTTTATGTATCGATAATTTTTATCTTCTTCCAATAAATAATTTATTACTTGTTAACAACTTATTAGTGGCATTGTAATATCATTTGAACTAGTAGATTTGAGTTAATATTGAAGTCAATTTTATCAAAAAATAGTTTTGTATTATTATTAATGACTATTATATTTTTATAGAAATAGTCATGATACCATATTCATAATTTGGTTCGTGTATGTGAATAAATATTGAATTGAATATTGAGTATGAGAGAATTTACAATATTTCACATAATTAATATAAAATAAATAATTTAATTATTAATGATTATTATTTTTTTTTTGATTTTAATTAGCTTTAATAACCATATATTGTATTTCATGATTTCAATAATTAATAATAATATTCATTGATAAAATAGTTAACTTCATTTGATAATATAAGTATTTCTTTGTTTTTCATTTTTATTGTTTAATCGTATCTTTGTTCTATTTTACTATATTTTGTTTATATTATTTCTTTATTCTTTATAGTTTCATTTTATTCATATTTAAATGAATGAGAAATAAATGATTTCTTAAAATTTATATATTTTTATCATTATTTTATATAGTATTTATCATTTATTTATTATTTTCTCTTTCTTATTCATTATTTATTATTATGTTTGAATAAATTATTTTGAACTATTGAATTAAAAATATTATGATTAATGATTTATAAGATATTTATTTGTTCTTTATTTCAATGTATTTCATCATTTGAATTATTATTGTTGATGTTAGATTGAATGTTTGAAAAGAAGAAGAAATAAAAAGAAGAAAATCATGAACAATGAATAAAGAAAATAAACAAAATATAAACAAATTCAACAAAATAAAAGATGATAAAAGAAGAAAATATTTTATTTTAATAATGAATAGAATATTATATTTCAATGTTTAAAAAGAATAGACAATAAATAAAGATGATATAAAATGAAATAAAAAAGAAAATGATAGAAATACAAAATTAAATTAAATGAATTTAATTTCAATCAAAAGAAAAAAGAAATAAATGAAAGAAAAATGATATTATATTAACAAATATTTAATTTAATCAATCAAATAATACAATGAATTAAAATGAAATTAAAATAATATTTAAATTTATGAAGATAAATCGAAAATAAAAAGATAATAAATAACAATTGAAAATAATAAAAAATAAATTATTTTTAGAAAACAATAACAAAATAAATCCCAATAATTATTTTAATTAAAAGTATTTTTATTCATTATTATTTATTTAAATACAACACATACAAATAATAAGAACATTTCAATCAACTATCAAATAACATATAATTATAATTTAACTTATTTCTTTATTATTTTCATTTCATATGAAAGAATGATAAAATTAATAATAATGAATTGACTATTACAATTTATTATGTTATATTTCTTATTCTTCATATTTATTATTATTTTCTTGTTTCTTTATTATGACATTATCATTCTTTAAATTGTTATATCTCAAATTCTTTCAATTCCTTATTTACAACATTCACTATTCATTTAATTTTTCCTAGTTTCTGTTTTATTATGTAAAGTTGAATAATACTTTTAAATTGATTTAATTTCTATTATTTCTTAATTATTTTATTGTTCATCTCATTGTTTATTCTTTATTTGTATTTATTTAGTGTATGTTTGTTATCTAATTAATAATTTCAATTACTATTTTCTCTCTTGGTTATGATTATTTTATTTCTTCTTCACTTTCTGCATTATTTATCGAATCTTCTTTTTTCTTTTGGTTCTTCATTATGTCTCTTTCCATCTCTCTTACGAATGTCATTCTCTTTTACTTTAATCCATTTATTGTGTTTATGAATGAAATCGTATTGGATTCCATATTTTCCGATTGATTGTGAAAAATCAACATGAATTCTACGTTCGTCAATAATGACATTATCCATCTTTTGATATGCATTTTCACACCCTTCTTTTGTTTCAAATTCAATAAACCCATATCCTAGTGATTTCTTGGTTTTCCTGTCTCTGATGATTTCAACACTTCTAATCTTACCATACTTTCTGAATATTTCTTCTAAGTCTTCTTCATTTGTGATTGGATTCATTTTACAAATGAATAACACATTTTCTGGTGGTTTGATTTCTGCAAATGGTAAATCCCCTATCATTTCAAGAACTTCTGCTCGACTCTTTGCTTCGTTTTCTTTGATTTTCTTTTCTGTATCAGAGTCAATTTTTTCTATCATTTCATTGATTTCTGGATGGTCATCAAGTATAAGTTCTGGTGCTTTTGGTTTAACAAATCCTTTTGGATCGTCATAAGGGTCTTCAAATATTTCAATACTAATGATTCTGATGTTTTGGTATGGTCGATAATTCTCATCTACATTAACTTTGTTAATTTCTTCTATCACTTCCATCCCTTCTTCAATTTGTCCTATTGCTATTCCGTTTATTCCACTCATTCCATTCCCTGTGGTGATGTACACTTCTGATCCAATTGTATTCTTACCATGTGTAACAAACCCTACAATTCCTTTCTTATCATTCTTTCTTTTTGTTTTTGGTTGACATACAATGTACTTATGTTCAATCCCTTCCATAACTCCTTCAAATGAATTTCCTCCTTTTCCCATTGTTATGTCTCCAAATTGAATTGCATAATCTTTGATTACTCGATAAATGATACAATGAAGATAATATTCAATTTTACACAGTTTAATAAAATTATAACATCCTACTGGATTATCTTCTGTGAATAAGTCAATTACAACATTCCCAAGACTTGTTTCAATAAACACACTCATTTCTTTTTTTCAAGTTCTTTTTGTTTATTTCTATTATTTGTGTTGTTTATTTAAAAAAGAAGTGAATTAAAGATTTTCGATGATGTAGTCAATGTGGATGCAATACATTATCATTGTACTGATAATGTCACTGTAACATTTCTTGATACTTTCCTATTTTCTTATTTTCTTGTATTTTCTATAAAATACCATATTTAACAAACAATACTTCTCTTTCCTTGTTCATTCAACTGATAGTTATCATCATAGCATTTTGTGATGATATTGTAATGTGCATCTTCTATTAATTCAACTTGTTTTATCAAATATTCATATCCTTTCTCTGTTTCTTTGATTTTTGTTCCAATTTCTTTCATGATATTCATTTCTCTCTGATAAAACTCCTCAACATCTTTATCATTCATTCCAATCATCTCATTAAGAATCTTTTCCATATCATTTCTGATTGTTTTATATGTTGTGGTTATTGGTTTATTTCCTATTTGGAAAGTAATTGTTGTCATGTTCTTTTTTATGATTTATCAAGTTCTTATCAACTAAAAAAAAACAAAAAATATCAATAACTTTTAACTTTGAGCAAAGAATTTATCTATCTTCTCTTTCTTAATTGTAATCTCTTCTTCATTACTTGGTCTCTTTTCTATTAGTACTTTGCATTCGCATTTCTTTCCATCTGAAAGTTCTCCACCAACAGTAATTTTACCATCCTCTTCAACTTTTACAACAAAAACTACAAATTGATCTCCCTTTGGAATATTGCTAATGACATAGTACCCTAATGATTTATCATCTTCAAATAATTCTATTTGCACACTCCATCCAGTGACTTCAACATATATTCGATGGTCATGTGGAATCTCTGTTCCATCTTCAACAACAGTAAAGAGATTACCACCAGGTCCTATCATCTTGATAGGACGTGCAGTTACTTCTGTAATACCTTTAATCATTTTATTAGAATATTCATATGCATATCGGGCTGCGCCTTGTGATACAACCAAGTCACAATCAATAGTGTCATTGATTTTTGATGTTATAAACTTGGCTTCTAATAACTTTTTGATTCTAGGAATTTGTGAACTTCCTCCAATAAGTATAACTTCTCCAATTTTTGATGGTGAGAGTCTTGTCTTCGTCAATACATCATCAACACACTTCATGCATCGGTCAAATTCTTTTTGGTTACAATCTTCAAATTCAGTTCTATCAATAATAATAACAAAATCATCATCACCAACTAATTCTGAAATATCTAATTCATAATAACTAGTTGATGATAACTCAATCTTTGCTTTTTCAACTTCTTTTCTTAATTTATATCTTCGTTGTTTCTTTGCTTTTTTTTGTGTTAGACTATCACTTCCTTTAAAAATAAATCTTTGTGCTTTCTTCTCATTAATTTCTTTCATTTTAGATATAACGAGTTCCATTAAATTCATATCAAAATCTAATCCTCCTAAATGAGCATCACCACCAGTTGCCCTAACCTTAAACTTGTCTCCTTTTTTTTTTAATATAGTAACATCAAGTGTTCTTTCTCCAAAATCAAATACAAGAAAATTTCCTTCTTTTATAGATTCTAATCCATATGCATATGCAGCTGCTGATGGTTCATCCAACAATCGAATTAAACTAAATCCTGCCATCAACACGGCTTTTTTGGTTCGATATCTTTGTGAACTATCAAAGTATGCAGGAACTGTTACAACAGTTTTTAAAAGTATATTATCTCTAATATTTAATCTACGTTGAATTTCAATTTTAATTGCTTTTAACACAATAGCTGAAACAATTTCTGGTTCAATCAGTTCTTCTTCTTCTTTATCAGGATAGTCAAGCACAATCTGACAATACCCATCGTCCGCTTTAACTATTTGATATGGGTAATATGCTCTTTTAATGTCTTCTTGAACTTGTTCATCATCAAATTTCTTTCCAATAAATCTTTTTACTTCACAGATGGAAGTAGGCTTAGGAGTTCCAACATTAACAGGTTGTGTGAAAAAATCAACGGTTGATGGAATTTTTGAACTTCCATTTAAGTAATTGATACATTCATATTTTTTTGTTCTACCATTAAAGAAGTGACAACAAGTAAATTTTGTTCCTAAATCAATGCCAACAAACATCTCTTTTGGCAATAAGATTCAATTATTTGATTAATGAAATTATTTTTCTTCTTTTAAGTTTCAATCAAAATAAACATCATTCCTAGAATATGATTTTAATAAAATAGTAATAAAATAAGAAACTCACTTTATTATTTTTTATTACTATAATTAAACCATATAATGAATAAGTGATAAGAGTATGTTGTTGGTTTAATAAAAAGGTCAATTAATATACATTCTACAAATGGATTTTCTTCTTACTGAGAAGTACTCGTTTTTATATTTTTCTTTACTCTTCTTCTAGTTAATTTCTAAGATTGTTTCATTAGAGGGTTGTTCTTCTTCAATCTGTAGAACATTAAATCATTCATATTTTTAATGACAATTGTTAGTAGTATTTTGGTGAAGTTTAAATATAATTTTAGTGATTTTAATCTTTTATTGATTCTTTATGTATCAATTTATTGATAATATTACAGATATTATTTCTACATATATTAATTCTCTATTTTGTCTTAACTCCTCTTGTAATTCTTTGTATTTATTTAATTTGTAAATATAAATTAAATGTGTATTTCTATCTTGACATATATTAACATCATTAATATTATTTTTTATCTTTCATATTTTGATAATTATATGTCTAGTCTTCTAGTATTGAATTAAATGAACATTAACCAATAAATCATTGTTGTAAGTTATGATAATTTCATCTTATTAATAAATCTAGGAGTAACATTGAAATCAATTGAATCAAATTCAATGAAACTTGTAAATAATATATGTCTATATATTTGTTTACATATATACTCATGTTTTGATATTTGGTTTTTCTTTATATATACTAATCTTCTTCCAAAATTGTTTTACTCATTTAATTATTTCATTTAGGCTATCTTTTATTATTTCTATCTCTTATCTTATTCATATGTTATTTAGAATTTAAATATCTCCTAGCATTTCTTCAGAACCTTTGTCTCATGGCAACATTAGTGTCATTTATAATCATTTATTTATTTTATATCTAATTTTATTGTTAACATTTCATATAAGTCATTAATTAGATAAAGAATTCTTGTGTTAGTTTCATAGATTCATTTTCATAAATTATTAGTATCTGTATTATCTGGATATTCTTCTTTTACTACTTTTGATTGTCTCTTTCATTTCTTTACAATTTTAAATTCTATAACTTCTCTTCTTTAATTATTATTCTTTTATTTCTATTCTTTTATATTCTGCAGTTATTTATAAGGTTGCTTTTTGTTTTTATATCGTTTTTGATATACATACATTCAATAGGTAAAATCTTATTAATTTATTTTATTAACTCTTATTCTAAAATTATTTTCTTAGTATTTATTCAACTAACACTTATTTTCATTTATCTTTTTATCTTTCTTACTTATTGCTATTGATGTACTTTCTTATTATTATTGTTTTATATATTTTCTGCTTCATCTTTAATACATCTTTTTTTATCAATTTTAAGAGAAATGGAATATTAAAAAATGTATAAATTATTGTGAAGTAAATCAATTAATGACTTAACAAAATATAATTAAACAATGTTCATAGATTTATGAAAATCAAGTAAGTTTTAATTAAATGTTAAGAAAAGAATAAACTAGTTAGTATTCATTTTATTTGAGAAGGTAAAAGAATTATAATATAATTCGTTTATTTTCATTAAGAACCTTTATTCACTTATGATAATCTATTTTTATAAATATAAAATATGAAAGAGTTAAATAAATAATGGACTAACCATTATTTAAATAAATAAACATAGATAAACCAAAAACTTTAAAACATATTAAAAGGTGTTCATACGCAAACATCATTTAGAAGATTATTATGTTTAATTCATTATCTGTCTTATCTTTATTTATTTCTATCATTTATTTCTATAATCACAATTGACATAATTCATTATTCATATTATTTATTATAAAATAGGAATGACATAATCTATTTCTATTAGTTTAGTTAATTATAAAACCAAAAAATAAATTATTGTCTTGATTAAATTTAGTCAAAATGTTAGAGCAAAAATAGTATAAATATTAATTCTCTACTTAGTCATTTTTTATCTTTTATCTAAAACATACTTTTGTTTCTTTCTTTTACTTAAATGAATACGTTTATGTCATTTTATTGTTAACTCAAAATGAATAATGAATTATTTGTTTATTCATTATTATTTTGTTGGTTTATCTTATTTTCATATTTCATTATATTATTCCTTTTATTTTTATTATTTTCATTGACGTTATTGATATATGAGTTATCTCATTTCTTCTTTTTTTGTTTTAATCAACTCTTTCACTTTTTTGTTACATGACTTTGATTTCTTTATTGTTTATTTTTTATATACCTTTTTTTCTTTCATTTGTTATATTATCTTTTTTAATGTTCTACTCTTGGTTCTTCAGTACTCTCTTTATCTTTTAATGTGTTATTTGTCATACTCTTTTACCCCCTTCTTTTTATTTTTTCTTTGAGTTCTAATTTATGTTCTTTAACCAAACTATTCTTCAAATAGTTTCCTTAACTTCAGCCCTTTTTTTATAGTGTCTTTAAATTTTTTTCATTCAACACACTGTACTCTCACTACACTTTCCTTAATTGATCTTTGTTGTTATTGTTTTGTTTCTTATACATTGTCATTAAATCATTTAGTTATGGCTTTCCATAATATTTTATGTTTCACCGCCCAAGAATATTAAATGACAAAAAATAAACATAAATAAATTTTGTTATAATCAATAAAAATTTTAAGTATCTTTTGACTCAAGAAATACCCTGTTGTGATAAAACTCATAATTCACTTTATGGAAAATACTCCTTCAATTCGTTTGACTCAAAACGAGTTTATGGTCTTTGACCTTCTAAAACAAGTTGGTTGTGTTGCTATAAAAATCTATAAAAATATTTATGAGATAGACTGTCTTACATTTTAAATTATCTACAATAATTAGAGTTGTGGGTGGATGGGTTAGAGACAAATTATTAGGGAAAGAATCCCATGACATTGACATTACAGTTGATAATATGCAATCTTATCAATTCTCACAATATCTTCAAAAATATATAAATGAACACACTCAACATAATGTCAGTGGAATTGGAATAATCCATAAAAACCATTCTGCTGGAAAACATCTTGAGACCGCAACACTACGAATAGACAATATTGCTATTGACATCTGCTGTTTGAGAGCAGCTGATTACTGTGACAATGATGAGGAAGTTTGTTGGTTATAACGGGTTAATAATTCATTTTGAGTTATCGTATGAAAAAACACAACTGACTTATAGAAAATAGGCACACCTTTAGAAGATGCACAGAGAAGAGACTTTACTATCAACGCAATGTTTTATAGGGTAAATGATGATCAAATAGAAGATTTAACTGGATGTGGTCTGAGTGATCTAAAAAGTGGAGTCATTAGAACACCAATTTCACCAAAAGAAACATTACACGATGACCCAGCAAGAGCATTAAGAGCAATCCGGTTCAGTGGGAAAATGGGATTTGTGTTAGACGAAGAGCTAGAACAAGAAATGAAAACAAAATACATTGGGGATAAAATGACAACTGGGCTGAGTCGAGAACGACTTGGACGTGAGTTAATAGGAATGATACAAAGCGATAGACCAGCTTATTGTATTGACCAAATCAGACGATTTGGCTATTTTAAAGGGTTGTTTGGTGAATTAGATGAAATTACTACTACAAATGTGGTTAGAAGTTATGAAATGTATGCACAAGAGTTTGGAGTATTTGAACTAGGAAGAAGAGAAATAGGATTTCTTGCAGCACTGTTATATTCTGTTACTAGAGAAACAAATCCGAAAAAGAGAATGGCTAAAGTACATTCTGTTATTATTGATTCATTAAAGTTGAGTGTAAAAGAGAGAAATAACATAATTCTAGTTCACAACGGAGTTAAAGAATTAGAGCAATTATCAAACAAAAAAGAATGGACGAGAGTGGAAGTAGGAAGGATAGTTGTTGCGTCGGCAGAGTGGTGGAAAGAAGCAATTTGTTTGTGTTGTGCAATCCATGCACCTTGTGATGGAGTATTAGTGAGTCCATGTGATAAAGGAGTTATGAACAAAGCTATGGTACAATGGTGTGGTTTATTACTCAACAGAATCGTTTTAGAGCAATTGGAAAATATTTGGCAGATGAAGCCACTAGTCAATGGTGAAGAGTGTAGCAAAATTTTACAAAAAAAAGGAGGTCCATGGTTGAAAGAGATCCTAAAAGATATGGTTGAACTTCAAATAGAAAACCCAATGATAACAAAGGATGAAGTCGTAGTTTTTGTGTTAAAATGGGGGGAAATGAAGAATAATTAGATAACACATTTTATTTTGTTAGTTGGATATGGGTATTAATAATAAATTAATTTAATGAAAAAGTCAAAGGTAAAATATGGTTCAAAGTATTTTCGATAATATTTAATATTATTTGAATTGAATTGTTACAAGAAACAACTTGTTTTTTGTATGTTCATTGAAAATATGAAAATAAAGTATTCATTTTGGTTTCAAGAGATTATTTCTTCCTCTCTTGAGTAATTAAAATTATTCTAATAAAAACATTTCGTAAAAAATCCTATAATAAATAACAATAAGGTAGAAAATTTAAATATATCCATTCTATTTACTTATAAAATAAAATCTAAATAAGAAAGTATGAGAAGAAAAATGATGTTCATTATTGTTTTCTAAGATAGTTGAGAGGGACAGTTCCTTGCTCTCCATTGGCATTGATAGCTTGTGCCCATCCGTCCTCATCAACTGAAATTACTTGTAAAATATCCCCCTCTCTGAAAGTTAAATCTCCTTCAGCAGTAGCGTCATAATCGTATTCAGCAATATAAGTTTCTCCTTGTTGTTGTCTTGGCTTAGGTGGTAAAGGTGGAACAGAAGAAACTTCTTCTTGTGGGGCTTCTTCATATTGTTGAGGTTCTTCTTGTACAGGCTCTTCTTGATACTGTTGCTCTGATTGTTGTTCTTCTTGATACTGTTGCTCTGATTGTTGTTCTTCTTGGTATTGTTCTTGTGGTTGTTCTTCTTGGTATTGTTCTTGTGGTTGTTCTTCTTGGTATTGTTGCTCTGGCTGTTGCTCTTCTTGATATTGTTCCTGTGGTTGTTGCTCTTCTTGACATTGTTCCTGTGGTTGTTCTTCTTGTACAGGCTCTGGGATGGTTTGTTGTGGAGGTCTATAAGTAGGTTTAGGAACAGTAGGTCTTTGATAAGTAGGTTGAGGAACTTCAGGTGCAGGGGCTACTTTAGGGGTCCATTTTTTACCAGTAGGTTGAACTTTAGGAACTTCTTCTTGATCTTTTTGAGCGTATTGTGTGAATTTACTAGTGAAAGCAGCAACATTACCTTTGACTTGTTGTTGGGCAACTGGTTTTTCAGATTCTTGTTGATGAGAAGCAACAAATTGTTGGTGTTTTTGTTCTTGTTCTTTCCAACGAGCTTTTTCTGCTTCATCTTTTTCTAATTGTTGTTGTTTGAAAGCATTAACCTTTTGTTCTTTAGCAGCATTCATTGCTGCATTACGAGCTTCAGCTGCTGCTGTTAATTTTTCTGATTCAATTCTTTTAGACTCAGCGTATTCTTTTTCTCTTAATTTTTGTTTAGCATTCATTTCATCATTATACTGTTGGTCTTTAGTTTTTTGTTGTTGCCAAAAGATATTTTTTTTAGCATTTAAGTCTTCCTTAGCTTCTCCTTGTTTACGAGCTCTAACAAATGAATTAGTAGATTTATTTAACTTATCGACGATAGTAGATTCATCTAAATCCTCTTCTTTTCTAGCTGAGATTGTGACAGAAATAGAGTGATTATTAGATTTCAAGAAATCTTCCCAGTCTCTTGAGTAATAAACAAATTTTGTTTTTAAATTATCAGGTGCTGCTTGTCCACACCAACAGACACATAAAAATTTCTTTGTTTGGTCCATTTCATATCTTAAATATCCAAATTGTACTTGTGCATTGTCCATTGTATAAACCATATCTCCAACTGTTGTTCCTGTGTCGTCTTCTACTAATTCACCATTCTTAAAATTAACATGATAAACTACCCATTCGATAGAACCACTATTTCTAATAGTGTCTAGTGTTTTAATTACTTCATTTGATCCAGTCCCAAGATGTAATGGAAGCATTCTGTTGACTTGTTCTTATTTCGAGTTCTTCTTTGTTTTTCTTCTAAAAATCTGAAAATATCTTCTATTTTAGTTCTTTTCATCTTTTGAAGTTCACCTCTTTTAAATTTTTTTCTTCATTTTTTTTTATTCAACCATTTTATAGTTCTTCTTTTCAATTTTATTAATTCTTCATTGAGATATTCATCAGTAATTCATCAGTATTGTTTTTATTATAATTTAAAAGAAGGGCTATAATAATACTTTAATACAGTTTATTGTTTTAATTTAAAAGATACGTTTTTAGTTCGACAAACCTATGACAATTAGATACACCATGTTTTATTTCAAAAAGTGAACAACTTATGTTATATAAAAAAACTTAACAAAAATGAAGAATAAAAACATGATTTTAAGTAATATTAGATATTAAAATTTTTATTTTATTTTAAGCTATTCCTTCAACAAATAAAAAAATGAAGTAGATGATTTGATATTTAATAAAAATTTAATAAAATAATAAAACGAATAGTAAAAATCAAAATTTTGCATCACTAATTTGAAATTTAAAGGATAAGAATAAAAAAAAAAGAAAATAAATTTATAAATAATGATATTTATTTGAGTTATAACAAAAAAAGAGGAATAAGTTAAAAAGATGATAAAAACAAATAATACAATATAGATTAAAAAAAGAAAAGAGAAAAATGAATTTTATAATAAATTGCATCATTCTTTCAATAGTTCTGTCATTAAAAAAGAAGAATAAACTGAGAAAGTCAATTAAGATGAATATTTTTACAAGTACAGTAAAATATTTAAATGAGTATTTGTATTGTTCAATTAATTTTGTTGGAGAGAGTCATGAAGTTTTAATACCATATAAACAAAGAAATAATTCATTACCAGGAGATGAAGTATCAGTTGCAATACAACCAATTAAATATTGGAAAATAGAAGGAGGTGATGAAGATAGTTTAGAAATAGAATATAGTCAATTATTTTTTAAAGAAAAGAAATATAATAATATGGTAGAATTAAATTATAATGAAATCAATAGTTTAAGTGAATTAATTGAGTTAATTTTAAATAGAAAAGAATATAATGGACATAAACTTCAACCAACATGTGAAGTAATATATATTGAAAGATATGAAAAATATAAAGATATTACAGGATATATTGAATATGGAGTATTTTGGCCAGATGATAATGGATTGTGTTCATTAAAATGTAATCAAGAAATTGAAGGGTGTCATGTTATTGGAGACATTGATAGAGAAGAAAATATATTTATTTTTAAAAGAATTATTAAAAGTGGTAATTGTTATGATTTTTCTGAAAAAATTCAATCACTAAAACAAAACAATTTTCAACAACTAATTTATTATGATGAAATAAAATTTCTCAAAGAGTTTTACAAAAATAAATCATTATTAAAGACACATACATGATATCATCATT